GCTGGTTTCGAACTCCTGAGCTCAAACGAAAATACACATTTCTAAGTAACTCAATAGTTACAGAAATTAGAAATTTTAAAATGTGTGGAATGATGATAATACATTTCCAATATCAAAATGCCCAGGGTGCAACTAGAATGATAGTTAGAAGATAATGCAGTTTTAAAACACTTATAATAGAAAAATACCATAAAAATTAATGAGCTACATAAGAAATTAGAAAAAGAATCAAGGAAAGTGAGAAAACTGAAAGAAGGAAAACAATGATAATTGCAAAAATTAATGACAAAAAATAATGCTATACTAGAGACAATCACTAAAGCTCAAAGCTACTCCTTTGTAAAGATTAATAAAATTGGAATGCCTCTGGCGAAATTAAGACAAAGAAAAGACAGGATACAAATAATATTAGGGATGAAAAAGGTAACATAACTACCATAAAAGAATATAACAAAGAACATAACAAAAAAAGAAAAGCAAAACATGCTCTCTTTAGAAAGAAAAAAAATTATTTAAATTGATGAGTACACAGCTGTTACCTTACTTGGTCTCCAGTCTGAAATGCCCAATTTCCTCTGACAATGTCTATCTATGAGCCCCTTCAAGATTCACCTTTTCCAAGAAGCCTTTTCAAATGAACGCCTTCCTAGGCCAGCCTCTCCTTACTTTATACTCTGTAATTTATATCCTTTTTATTATTTGCCATAGTTAAATAATCTCAACACTCAGATATGCAACTAGGAAAAAAACAAACCCTCATTGTCAGAGGGCCCCAGAAGCCATAACCCCTCAAGGAACCACAGGCAAGGCCGAGTCCCCCACACAGAGGCCCCCGTGGCTGGCCGCACAGCTCCCCAACTAGTCCCGCATCCCTCGTAACAGTCACCTCTATGAAGGCTCAGTCCAGTACACAGCATGTGCTCAGTAAATGCCTATGGATGCTTGATTCGGACTTCATTAAAATTATATATGTACGTGCATATACAACCATAAATACGCAATTTTTTAAATGAAAAACAAATTTTTTTAAAGAAGCAAATAAGAGAATGTATTTATGTACCAAAATTCAACATGCCGGAAACTACAAAAGAATCGAGTTCTCATGAACTGACTTTACATTCTGTAAATGTCATAAATCAGAATTTGTTAATTTCTAGTAATAAAACATCCTTCCATCCAGTTCAGACATGGAGATCCATGTTAGATTTAAAAAAACAAGGCACATCATACACACACACGCACACTTATTTTCAAACTATGGATCATCCTTTTAGTTTTGTTAATTTTAGTCTCATTTTTCTCTCCAACATTTCCTTTAGATTCAAAGACTATACAGATTTCATGGCTACACAAATTATTTCACGGCCCTAAAGGAAGCAACAGAAATTTAACCCAGTTTGAGGACATACAACTATGAAAGTTGCCAGAACCAAAATGGAGTCGGTAATGTTAAGAAAACCCTGACAAACAGAGCCAGGGAAGGCCATGAAGACGGTTCTCACACATGTATGCCTAGCAACAAAAAAGACTACAAAAACCACAACCTTGCACACAAAGGCCATTGCTACCTTATACAAGAAATACTTCTGCAAGGACTTGTGCCCAGCAACTGCCTGTCCAACCTTGTAGCCAAGGATAATTATTTCAAAACAATTATGCAATCCTCCTCGTTTTTTCCTTTAAAAACCTTTGTCTTCCTTTACCTGTCTGAATGTGCACACAGTTTAAAATGGCATGTGTATTCCCACTGCAATGCTCTATTCCCCAATCACTCTTTTTCTTTTAGAGAAACTCTGTTTGTCATTTAGGTTGACACAATTTTCAAGGTCAAACTGATGAGTTCTGCGAAAAGAGGGGCAGTACCAATTTCAAGAACATCCCGCCAGCTGGGGCTCTGAGCGGCGCTTACCTTGCCGGCAGCAAACAAGTGACAGCCCTTGACGGCTTCGAAAATGTTGGGCGAGATGTCTGGCTGGGCAGGAAGGTGAGACTGTGCTAGGGACTGTTTCACTTTCTTTACGTCCACCAGACACAGCGCCCGCTCTTCTCCTGAAGGGGAAAAGGAACGGCCTCTCATCAGTGTGACACCATTAAGTGAAGACAACCGCGGTTCTTGTTCTAGTCACAAATAAAAGTCATGACAGGCCATGTGAATGGACTGAGCTTCCCACAAGTCCCTGTAAACACACTTTAGGTCCACATTTTAGACCTAAGATGAAAAAATTTGGCCTTTTAGTGAAGATTTGGGGAGTGGGGGGCAGGGAACAGGACTATACTGTCAAACATGGTCCCAGCAAAGTAGAGGAAGAATGCGTTAGGGAGCAGTGAGGGGACATCTATAAAACAACAGCCTTGGACTGTTCAAATACGTGCATGTCATGAGAGACCAAAGACAGGCTGAAGAACCGTTCCAGAATAAAGGGACATGATCAAATGCAATGCATGATCCTGGGTTGGATCATGTATCAGGGAAAAAAAAAAAAAATACTGTGGAGGACATTATAGGAGCCATAGGTAAAATCTGACTGTGAGGCAGTGTATCAGATAATTGTACTACAGCGAGGGTTAAATTTCCTGAATGCAAAAATTGTACCATATGAAACTATTCTGATACCGTAATAGCGGACATTTATCATTATACATTTGTCAAACCCCATAGAATACACAACACCAAGAGTGAACCCTAATGGAGACTGGAGACTCTTGGGTGACATGGTGTGTCGGTGTAGGTTCGTCAGTTGTAAGAACGCACCGCTCTGGTGGGGGATGCAGATGGCACGGGAAGGTGTGCGTGAGCGGGGATGGTGGGGATGCGGGAACTCTCTGTACCTTTCTCTCACATTTTGCTGTGAACCTAAAACTGCTCTAAAGAATAAAACAGAAAGGAAGGGAGGGAAAAGAGTTGCGAGATCAGAAAGCCCAGCTCCTGGGACTGTATTATTTTGGCAGCTGGATGCAGCCATGCCTGAAACAAGAACTGTGGATGTTTTGAACAGTGAATCAAATTATTACTTTTCCCTTAAAAAAATAGGATCACCAATGAAGAGAGAGGGAAAAAAATCGTGCCACGGTTATGTGACAGAATGCCCCTGTCCTTTGGCGGATATGCTGAAGCATCTGGCATCATGCCTGCAACTAACTCTCAAATGGTTTGGAAAAAGTGTGTGAGTGTGAGTGAGTGAGTGAGTGTGTGTGTGTGTGTGTGTGTAGACAGAGAAAAAAATGTGACACAATGTTAGCAAATGGCGAATCCAGATGAAGGTTCGCTGAGAGTCCAGACGTGAGAGGGACTGCGCAGTGACAGGCAAACTCTCAGAAGATCGTGGCCCGCGGTGGTTCTGACGCAATCAGGACAAAGGGTCTGAATTTAATGAGTCATCGAGGCTTAGCACTCTTCACTTGGCATCATACTGGGATGTTCTTTGGGGGTGTCAGACTGTGCTGAACTTGACACCAAAAAGGAACCAAATCTGCCAGGGAGGGTCCATTAGCTGAGGATCTCCTCTGGGGACAGAGAGGCAAAAGCTACTGCTGTTCCCACCTGCCATGCGGAGGGCCTGCCTTTGTGTTTCACAAGCATGAAATGTGGCTTAACAAATCCTTCCCTTAGAAAGTAAAGAAAAAGCACCGCGTTCTTGGGTTCACACCTGCTATCATGAGTAGCTTCTCCAGGTCCTTGATAATATAAATTTGGAAGACTGCTCCGATTCCTGGGACATGGGTCAGGGAGTTTTTCAAGACATTCAGTGCATAGAGCCCTTCCTCGGTGCCCACCAACACCACCTGCAAGGACAGAAGTCCAAAGGCAGGACATGAGCACAACCGTGTCACTGGAACAATCCTTTAGAGGAAGAGCAACGAAGGCCCCACAGCCCTTTCTTTCTTGACAGCATGTGGCTGTGACCAGACACCGCTGACCGTGCCCATGAAAACATTACCTGGTCGCTGAAGGGCAGCGTGCAGTTCATGTCTAGACGGTCATCACCTTCCAGTTTCAGCAGGGAGTTTCCAAGTAATTTCTTTGGAAATGAAACATGTGAAAGAAGAGAAAAAAACAAGACATAGTGAGGTTGAACCGTTCATGCACAAATCAGCCAGAGAGACAGAGAGAAGTTTAAAAGCAAGTTAAACCTGAAAATGCTCAGAAACACAATCTGCTCTTAGCTTGCCCCGTATTTTGATCTGTGCTTGCAACAGCAAGACGTGAGAGTTACTAGTATCTCCGGGGTGGTTGTTAATTAGCATCTGAGTTATAACTTGGCTTGGATGCAGAAATAAATGCATGGAATAGACAAAGACAGAGCTATTTTGTGCTACGAAATGTGCTGAATCTAAGGAGACTTCCCCTGCAAAGGGTTAATAAGCCACACGAAAGGCTCCTTCCCTCCCCAGCCTGCAGCAAAAGTGCAAACACAGTGTCAGCAGCGAGCCAACAAGCCTGGATCTCTTTACCTGAACCCACGCAGGCAGAAGCTCGTAGGAAATACAGTCACCGGCCTATTGTACACACATTAACGAGGATTTCAGTAAAAGGCTTATGCATGTGACAATGAAACAGGTCATCAAAACAGGACTACCCAGCAGGCAAAGCTCTTTTCAGGAGGCTCATGGTTAAGAATCTTCCGCTTGCTAACACATAAAGTGTTTATTGGAAGCGAAGAGTCTGAAAAGGGCTATTTGGTTTTCAGTGGAGCAAACACCCATGAGCGATGAGCACTGTTTGTATCCTGGAACATTCTAGGTGGGGTGATGCCAATCAAGGCACACCTACGTTTCTAACATCTTAAGGATGAGTAGGATTTCAGACCTGCCTATAGAAGAGCAAACATTGCAGAGGCAATTGAGACTGTTACGAAAAGCCTCCTGAAGGAGATGTGGCTGCCGGCCTACCGTGCTGCTTCACGGCCCAAGTGCTTCTAATGCAAACCTTCAAACCAAATAAACACAGTAAATAGGAAAGAGGATTGCCTTTTAAGTACATCTCCTGCTGGGTCGCCACAACCAAGATCAACGACGCCCCAAGAGTTGGCGACTGACGCCGATTCTCCCATTCTAAATGGCTGCAGAGAGAAGGCTCACGATGCCACCCAAGCTACCTCGGTGCCTGCACCTTCGTCGCCACCAGACTCCTGCTCATGCCCCACTCTGGAGCCAGCAGCCCAAGGGAAATCGAGATGGCCCACAGGATCCCCAGTGTCAAGACCAGCCACCAAGTCAGCCCACTTCACAGAGACAAGCTGCGGTGCCTGTCGTCATACTCACAGCATCGGCTTCTGCTTTTTCCCTAGAAACTCTCCCACCTGCGACAACGGATTCTAAGGCGGTGACCCAGCGCTGTTTGTCGGGGAAGCTGGGAGCTAGCAAGTAGAGGGTTCTCCCGGGCCAGCAGGTGGTGTGCGGGTGAGATTCCATCTTCAGTATGTATGGGACATCTAGGAGATTTCACAGAGAGCACAGGATTGGGTGTGGACTTCCCCCATTCCCGCTGGGAGGGACGGCCCTGAGGTATCAGAGATCCCACCAAACTGTGTGAGTCCCAGGAACCGATAAGATGGAGGAGCTGAGGATGGTGGGCCTCCTTTGCAGAGCCGATCTTCCACGTCCCCCTCCTGCCCCTTCCGGACTACCGAGCCCAGCCCACCTCCAGGGTGGGGCCCCTCCGGCTCCTCCTCACCTGCTTTGGCTGTATTTGCGAGTTCAGAAGCACCAACGGCACCATGAATAGATACATCCCCGTCGGGAAGGCACAGCTCAAATTCTTCCACCGGCCTCTGTCCAGCTTGGTGCCAAGAGGAAGGGCGGAAAGAAAAACAAAAGAACAGGAACAAGAACAAGGGGAGAAGAGAGACAGAGAGAGGGACAGAGAGACAGGGTACGCGTGTAAAGAGAGGCGCACGAGAACAAAGGAGGGAAAGAGGTGTGCAGAGAAGGCGGAGAGGGAAGATAAAAAAAAAATAAAGTGTGTCAGATGAGTAGCACAGTGAAATTTCTGATGACGATGCGGATTTATGGGTTAGTTGACTGAGGCGGAAGTTCTCTGAAGGTGTATTAGCAGGTGGAATCTTCAGGGCAGCGCCCTGCGGGTTCTTCAGGGGGGAGACCTATAGATGTGAGTATCGCACCAATAACCTTTAGAGAAGTCATTTGGTTTTTAGTTTTCAAAAATGGAAAAGCGTAGAAAGCTTGCAAGGCAATCCAAAAAACAAAGCCTTCACGCCAACACTGGGAGACCTGGGGTAACCACGTGCAATGACATTCCCCCTGAATTATTAATTTACCTTCTCTGGCTTCATTGTCATAAATGAGGACTTTCGATCCCTCCAGGACAATGTACTTCCTGTCCCAGCCTTGCTGTCCTCGTTTGTTATTCCTGGGAAAAGAACAACGGAAATGAAATATGTTTAAACTCAGAAGAATAAGGCTGGAGGAAGGGGTGGGGGGGTGGCGGGGTAGGGGCGGTTCCTAGAAAAGACATTTTCCCTAGGAAGGATCAGGGATGGAAGTGGCTGGGGGCCTTCCATGCCAGCACCTGTCCCAGCCCAAGCTGCTCTGCAACAGTACCTGGGCACCTTCATCCACCCTTCCAGGTGCAAGCTGCTGCTGGGCTCCTTGGACTGGAGTCCTGGGGAGTTCATTTTGTCACGGCAGAAGGCCTCGGTGAAGTGTGTGGCATATTCAGCAGGCAGGCCACAGGTGGCTGGCAAGCATGTGGAGCACTTGGGATGACACATCACCTGACACTCTAGGAGACAGCAGTGGGAAACCTGAAGACACGCTCGGCTGACCCTGGACCCTTCCCTTCCCCCTCCAGCCAACCCCAGGGCCTCTCCAGCCCCAGCCACGTCCTGTGAGTGTGGCCCTGGCATGCAGGTCACCCCCTAAGCTTTCCCAGGTGCCAGGCCCCTACAGAGAGAGGAAACGACAAAGCCACGCACTCCCAGCCTAGTTTTCCTGGCTTCGACCCAATGCCCACAAACAGATGCGTAAAGTACGTGGTTGCACGTTTCAGTTGGAGCCAGCACCAAGTTAGGGAGGGACCAGCCTGACGAAAAGGGGCTGCAAATTAGCAAAGCCCAAGGCATGTTGTGCAGCAGGTTGGAGTGATGAGCTAAAGACATATATAAACTCACTGCTTTAACAGGGGAAAAATAATGTCCTCCCACTGAAAGAAAAAGCTTGGAAATGAATGCACTGGATAACAAAGAGTTAAAAAAAAAATCACCTCCACCTGATGGATTTATTTTTTAGATGGAAACACCCAAGTGCCCACTGCAGATGCTCAACCGCTGCTCTTACCGAGGCATTTGGACGCCTGCCGCCCAAAGTGCACAGTATCCAGACAAACAGCACACTTTGTGGCTCTCATGTTCAGTCCTACGTTGAATCGGTGAGGAATATTGTGGTGCATGCGCTCCTTCAGACGCCGACTAAATTCTGGTGGAAAATGTTTTAAAAATCATTAGAGTGCTGCAAACAGTATCATCAAAAAAGTGAAAAGATGACCCACAGGATGTGCAAAAATATTTGCAAATCTTACGTCTGATGGGGGATGCGTACCTGGAATATATTAAAGAACTCTTACAGCCCAATAATTTTTTTAAAAACCCAATTTAAAAATAGGCCAAGGATTTAAATAGACAGACATGTCCCCAAAGAGGAGAAATAAATGGTCAACAAGCACATGAAAAGATGCTCAACATCCTTAGTCATTAGGGAAATGCAGGCCAAAACCACAATGAGATACCACTTCCCACCCACTGGGATGTCTACAATCTTAAAAATGGAAAATAAGTGTCGGTGAGGATGAGGAGAAATTGGAACCCTCAGACGTTGCTGGAGAGAACGTAAAATGGTGCCACCACTCCAAAACCCAGTCTGGCGGTTCCTCAAAAGTTGAAACAGAATTCCCATATGATCCAGCAATTCCACCCCTAGGTATATACCCAAGAGGATGGAGAACATATGCACCCACAAAAATTTGTACATAAATGTTCACACCAGCATAACTTATGATGGCCCAACAGTGGAAACAACCCAACTGTCCATCAATGGACAAATGGATGAACAAGATGTGCTGTCCATCCGACGGAACATTAGTCAGCCCTGGAAAGAAATGAAGCACTGAAACATGCTACAACATGGGTGAACCTGAAGACATTATGCTCCATCAAAGCCAGACACACAAGGCCACATATGGAATATTAATTTATATGAAATGTCCAGAAGAGCAAATTCACAGAGACAGCAGATCAGTGATTGCCAAGGGGAACATTAGTGGAGGGGGAGTTGGAAATGACTGATAATGGGTGCAGAGTATTTTTTTTTTTGGTGTGGGTGCCAAAAATGTTCACAAATTAGAATGTGGTGATGGTCACACAACCCTGTCAACTTACTGAAAAACACTGAATTATACATTTTCAATGGGTGAATTGTATGGTATATGAATTATATCTCAATAAAGCTGTTAAGAAAAAACCATTAGAGCAGGTGAGTTACAGATTGTGAAACTATTTTAACACTAACAGATGCATCTAGATTTATATGAATCAACTTAAAATCTCCATTCTCTGGTTGTTAGGAATTAGGTTTAAGATTGACCACGATGCCATAGATGTTTCTGGGCATAAAGAAACATTAGCTTTTAACTCAATTGTTTGTAAATGTTTTTAGTCACGAAAGCTTTGTTTTCCAGATGAAATCGTATGTTTAGAGCTTTTCAGAATCCAATTTAAAAATCACTATTATGAATTACAGAATTTCTAATTATTAAATATATGAACTGACCAAAGAATTCTCCTTTTTTGTCCAGTTTTCTCATGAATAAACTCCTTTTGTTCAAAATCCAACTTTTTAGTCTCAAAGAACTGATTCTTACGTTTATATTCTAGTTTGTTAAAGTTAACAAGATTGAGGCCGGGCACAGTGGCTCATGCCTATAATCCTAGCACTTTGGGAGGCTGAGGCGGGAGGATTGTTTGAGCCCAGGAGTCTGAGGTTGCAGTGAGCTATGATGATGCCACTGTACTCTAGTATGGGTGACAGAGTGAGACCCTGTCTCCACAAAAAAAAAAAAAATTAACAAGATTGATATTTCCATTTAATAGGTTCCTTCTCGACAGTGACCTAACTAATTGGAGGCAATTTTATAGTTATCTCCCCTTATGCTTGGAGATGTATTCCAAGGCCTGCAGTGGATGCCTGGAACCACAGATAATACCAAACCCTATATATACTGGGTTTTTGTCTATCTGATAACTAAGATGGCTGCTAAATATCTAATAGACAGGTAGTGTCTACAGTGTGAAGATGCTGGACAAAGACATGAGTCATGTCCCAGGCAGGACAGAGCAGGACAGTGAGAGATTTCATCACTGGAATTTATTTCTGGAATTTTCCACTTAATATTTTTGGACCATGAATGACCGTGAGTAACTGAAATCACAGATAAGAGGTGAAAGAAAGAAAAGCTCAGGATCCAAGTTTCTGAATCCCACTCTGGTAGGTTCTCCTAATGTCATCCTCCTTCCTTTCTCAGAAGGATGGAAGGAATAAATACACAAATGCACTTTGAAACTATTAAGGTGCAACATACATGGAGGAGGTACTGGAAGTATTGACACCATTCAGGGAACTCGTCAAGGGACCCTGTAGCCAGAAACAATTCCTTCCTCCATGCTGCCATCACCATTTTGATGACTTTCAGAGTAACGCCCTTTGATTCAAGGTATTACATAAACATAGGAAGGAGATGACATTGTGGTTAAAGAAAAACAGCAGCAACAACAAAACACAAGCAGGTGTGATTGTGCTACCATGATGCTAAACCACAGATCTGCTCTATTCTCTCTAACACTCTCCAAACCACCTTCCTTGGCTTTTTTTTTTTTTTTTAAGTCCTTTTCATCTCTGGGTGAACAGAGTACTTTTGAGACCACAAAGAAAACTCCTTACACTGTTGGTAGAAACATAAATTGACACAAACTACCGACACTCAATGTGCACATGATTCTTTAACCCGACGATTCATTTCCCAAGAATTTAATCAGCCACAACACCCACAGATGTGCAGGATGTTCTTTGCAGGGTATTTATGGTAACAGAGGATTGGAAACAACCTAAATGCCCATCGATCGGGGTCTGGTTTAAAAGGTGAATGTTTGCCCACACCACGGAATACTAGCCAGTCCTTTGAAAGAATGAGGTAGATCTGTATGTACTAACATGAAACCTCTAAGATAACCCTTTAACAAAAAGATGTCTTGCAGTCTTTACTGTAGTTTATATGATGTTTATAAAAGAAAAAAAAGGGCTGAGAAAAATGTGCTTATTGTCTCATATTCTTTAAATAGAATCACATAACGTAAGATACTTGATAATAAAGACGTGGTTATGTGCATGAACTATCACTGAAGACTACGGCGGCTGAAAGAAATGGTTGATTCTGGGTAAAGGATCTAGGGATGGGAGGAGGAAGCCTTATTTCTGCCTCTTTATCCCCTAGTATTACTTGTAATTTTTACCATATACCTGCATTTCTTAGTCAATAAAAAAAATTAAAATTAAAAAAATTAAAAATTAAAAAAAAAAAAATCCCATGCAACTCCAACAGCCCCTTGAGAACATACCCTCTGGAGTTGAAGACTCCTTTCTGCGGCTAGACGGCGGGGCCAGCAGGCTCATGGCACTAGGCTGGTGCTCAGGGGACCGCACGATGGCAGACATGGCGATCTGCTGCCTCGCGGTGGCTGGCGTGGATGGGTGCGGGTGGTCTGTGGCTTTTCGGTGGGCAGCTGCAGAGAGACCAGCACGTGCCTTTTGGTTAACTGGGTCACCAAGAGGACCAAACCAAACACACTGCCCCTGGGCTGCCTTTCAATGACCCGAGACCCGAAGGGACATGTGTCACGCCAACTTGGCAACACCAAGGAGGCTATACATATTTCAGACTTGGGATGTCTGGAATGAAACCATAAGGATGGGCCATCAACAAAGATGCTGGACCGATCTCACTGAGATCAGTCCTCTGTCTTCTCCAGAGCCTTGAGCACTTTGCAGAGAGAGCCCCTACCTTCCTCCCGGGCGGACCGGAGCTCAATGCGGGTCTTCTGAAGGGCTTCCTCTAGCTCTGCACAGCGAGCTTTCTCCTTCTCCAGGGCCAGCTTCAACTCATTGTATTGCAGAGGAACCTGTGTGGGCAAAGCAGGGTCCTCTTTCCGTCGACTAAATAAACCCTAGCAATGGAAACAGAGATATCTCCTAACTCCTGGAAACTGGCACTTCACACTAGCTGAAGGAAATCTGACTCGGGAGGAGCAAAGCACGGAAGCCAGGCGCATACTCACTGTAAGTGTATTTAGTAAAAATGGCATGTGAAGGGGGAAGGGGTGGGCTGAGCCTCAGCCCCTTCCAGCCGGCTGAAAAAAATAGGGGTGCGGAAGTTTTCACCAAGAGGATTAAAGATGCTCGAATTGCCACCACCTCTTCCTTTAGCATTCCCAAGACAGGAGAGTCATTTCCTGAGAGTCCTTCCCACTCAAAAAATGGAACCAGGAGAGTATGGAGTATGGAGTCAGGAGAGATGGTTCAGAGGTCACTCTTGCCTTGGAATTTGTCTCATGATGCTTAGTTGCAAGACACAGAGATGAGTGTTTTTAAAAAGGAAGCAGAATTTTAAAATGAATGCTAAAATGATATCAAAACAAGGGGCTTACTAAAAAAAAAATGCAAATGGAAACATGTATTGTACATGGGAGGGGAAAACAAAGGAAAACACAGAATAATGCAATGGAAAAAAAATTCTAAAAAAAGAAAAAAAAAAAAGGAAACACCCTAACTATATCAAGTGACATAACCAGATAACAGTACACTGCTAAAATAAAAAAGATTAAATATCATAAGCATAACGTTTGCAGTCAGAGTATGCAAGAACATCCTTCCCGTGCAGCCACTGTTTAGGAGGAGGCAGCCTCTGAGCCTCCCCTTCCAGTGAAGACAGCACTGGGAATATTGAGACCAGCTGTCAACTCCAGTCCTCCACGCCTTTCCCCTAGGTATTCTAAGTCATCAAGGCCTGTCCTGTAAAATCACTGCCACTGCCACTATGGTGTGCGATCGCCTTTGGAAGGAAACTGCAAGCTCCTCAGAGAGCTTTCTGGAACTGAGAACACTTGGCCCAAGCTAGTATGAGGGCTTCCATGCTTTGGGAAAGCACGTATGAGGCTTACGAAAAGCAGTCTTTCCACGTGCACCTACAGATAACCCTGCCCATGGTTTGTCATTTCTCTCTTACAATTTAAAAGGATGGGGCAGTACTTGGTGGAGGGGAGGGCTATGCAGTCAGGCACTTCAGGCAGGTCATGCCAACTCCCTGGGCTCCAGTCTCTTCCTGAGCCAATCGAAAGGACTAGACCAGATCATTTCTGAAGTCCTTTCTGGAGCGTGATACGAGTGAATTTATGTGAATCAACTCCTCTAGCGTCTCATACAAACAACCTGCTAATCCCTCTGAAACCCATTCACGTCACCTGCTAAATCTCTCTAAGGTCCTGTATATGTGACTTGTTAATCCCTCTAGAGTCCCAAGCATGTGACCTGCTAATCCTTGCAGAGTCCCGTACACATGACCTTCGAACCCATTTGTAGTTCTGTACACACGACTTACGTATAAACCTTCCTCTCTGCACACCACCTTCCCCGCAACCCGCCCCAGCTGCTACGTGGGCAGGGGGAAATCATTTTCTTAACAGAGAAAGACGCTACGGTTTTAATGGCCATGAACACCAAGGGGTTTGTTAGACTTGATCAATAATATCCTCTGATAAAGGCTATTCTGATAATCTCAAAACCTATTTTTTGACCCAAAATAAAACCAAAAAAAGGTGCGTTTTTGTTTTCTCCAGTGTTCCTATGATTGCGTATCACAGTGGTGTCCACCGAACCGTGAATGATGGAGTGAAACTGACAACTCCCACTTTTCAGACACTTTGACTCACCTTTTTCTTTTTAGCAGGTTGGTCCATTTTGGCTTGCAGGAAATCAATGAGTTTGGTTTGTTGAGAAATGGTGCCTTCCATTTTCACCTTTTCGTGAGAATAGAGAACCTAAAATTCAAGGAAACAAAAATAACTTCAGACCCAGGCAGAAGTATACTTTTGAATGTGGTCCTTTGAGAAAATAAAACATAAGGTTAGGATGCTAGCACATGAAAATTTAACACAAACAGCGCTGACTCCGTATTTCTTTAGTCCCAATTTTATCGCAAAGGGGGAAAAAAAGATGGATTAATAGATGGATAGATATGTGGAAAAGTAAAAAATAGCACATGGTTAATTGTAGAATCCAGGTGGTGGTCACTATAGAAACCTGCCAATTTCTCCGAATGTTTAAAAATGTTCATAATAAACTATTGGGGAAAATACACGCAGCATACAACAACATAAAGACACTGACCATCTCACCGGATGGCTTGCTGCCATCGTGCTTTGCCTCTGCAGACAATTTTTAAGCAGATTCCCTTTGCCAGTCCTCACCTGAATGTTTTCTAGCTGATACTCCAGATCGCTTCTTTCTGTCTTCAGCAGATCGGCTCGGTCTAGAGCTTCCTGCAGCCCTTGTGTCAGACGGAAAATGTGATTCTTCTGCAAGTCCATCTGCTGCTGTAATTTGGCTTGCTGGCGGAGAGAGGGGCCAGAGAAAGGCTTGATACTGCACTCAATACAATTCGATCCCCCGCTGTTCCTATTCTTAAACTAATTTCAGGCATGGCACCAAAAATTTAGCTTTTGAAATCATCTTGATCCAGAATTATCCACTGTCATCTATTCCAAAACAGTCACAAGTACTGAAACCTCTGATGGCCAACAAGTCACAGGATCCCCACCATAATAGAAGTCCAGGCTGCAGGGTCTGCCTCCCAATCAGAGTTCCAATTGAGGATATTTCTGTACTTGAGCGCGTGAGCCATTTGAGTTGACATCTAAGGCAGTCTGACTCAGTGTCATGGCAACTAAGTTCCAATTTGTCCTCATTTTTTGTTTTCAAGATCTCGACTGTTGTTACGAGAAATCACTCTGTGCAGGCTGAGTGGCGTACACAAAGAGAAATCATCTCACCCCTAACTTAATAACCGCCCCACCAAGGTGAAGGACTCCAACAAGTACGTGAATAGCCACAATCATAGGCGATGATTTCCACATTGTTGGGCAGGGGGCGGGAAGAAGATCCCAGATACAGTACGAGTGTTGGTAAAACCCAGAAAAGAAATTCAATTCAGTATATTGGAAACAGTTTTGTGCTGCAAATTGCTCTCCAATTCTTACAATGGATGCCAACCAGAAAATAGGACAGGCTATAAAGATGCTGGTTTTGCGTCTTTCTTTTGTAAAATCCGTCCATTTCTAAAAAGCAGGAGAGAGCACCATCCTGATGCGATGCTGATGCGTTGCTGGCTAATTTCATCCAACCCCCAGGGTACAGTCTAACCACACTCTCTGTGGCCCAAATCATCTTCTCCCTGCTAGCCTAGACCCTCTGCAGACTTAGGGACAGAAAGCTACAGAAGAGCAACAAACATCAGCACAGGAGTTTCCAAACCATCAGTGGCAGCCCCAAAGCCTTCCACCCCAGCAGGCCGAAAGCCACCGATAACCTCACAATTCCCCGGTCCTCTCTGCCTCACTTTGCTTCTCGCCATTTCTGTTTTTCTTTCCATTTCTACTCCTCACCTGCCCTTCCTCCTAAGAGGTAGCTGATTCCCCAAGGCATCGTGTTGTAGTAGAAAAAGATGTGGACGTTGGAATCTTATAGACCCTGGTTTAAATCCTGACTTTAACACTCATCAGTGATGGGACCACAGGCAGCTCATGGTGCCTCCTGGATCCTCAGTTTCTTCATCTGACAGTGGGTAGAATACCTTGCCTTGCTGAATGACATAGTGAACACAGTGCCCAGCATACAGTAGGTGCTTAATGAATGTTAGTCCTCTCCTTTGTCCTTCTTTCTTTCCTCCATCCAGTGCAGGTGTACCCCTCACTCTCCCATCTGCCTTTCCCTACCAGTCCTGCCGTAAAGCAAGAGACACTAAAGGTCACTTGGCCATGTGCATAACCTGGAATTTCTGAATCAAACCACGGAGCCCCCAAAAATACAGGGGAAAAAAAGAGAGAAAACAGCTAAGATGCCCTCCCCCGCAGCACAAGTGATTTCTTCTGCAAATTGTCCTGTTTAGTTCCTTCCCACTATTTTAGGACAACATTAATTACTAGGCAGAATCCAGAGAAACAAGTTCTGGGGACAAGAATCTGTTTGGTGAGAGCCAGGCCCAAAATATTTTTCTAGAATAAACGCATCAACTGTCCATTAGCTTTCCAAGAAATAGGCTGGTTACAGACTGCAATAAAAAACAAGAGTGACATCTGCACTCCAGGAAATGTTTTTCAAAACCATTTACCTGCTTCCCAGAGAGAAGCAAGAGGAGGCACAGCCCCAGGTCAGTGTCGGAGTGAAGGGAGGGCCTTAGCTGTGAGCTTAGACCTACCCAACCATCTTGTGAGGGTGACAGGAAACTGGGCGGAAGAATGAAGGAGCTGGATGACAGAACCAGAGCCTGAAACCCCAGTGGGATGGAAGGATGGATCAAAACCAACAAGAAGAAGTTCAATAGAGTGGTATTTTTTGAACTTCAAATGAATAAGTACAGAACATAAAGATGTGGAAGGGTAGGTGGTGATTCAACAGGTCAATTGTGTCAATGGAGGGACAAAGCTGCCCAAAGAGCCCAGGTAATTGGCAGAGGTTTACAGAGGCCAGTATGGAGTGGAAACATCCCAATGTATTCAGTGCTATTCAGACCACATGGGCTTCTAGAAACTCTCTTTGGGAAGATAAATCTCCCAGAAAAGAACATCCAAAGCATGGAGGGATTTCACCTAAGAAAGAGAAAGCAATTTGGAGTGGGAGAGCCACTTGGATATCTAATCGACTGTCATGAAAGTAAGAAATATAGTTATCTCATAGGACTGTTGCAAGGAAAGTTAAGACTCAATTCATACAAAGTACTCAGAAAGGCACCTGGCACGTAGTAAGTGCTAATTAAACATTAGTTTTTAAAATTATTAATCAAGTAATTTGACTATCAATCAATATTAACCTCTGACTTTGGTTGGAGATATCAGATTACTCTCTAATTTCGATCTTAACAGAACCAACGGGTGAAAGTTGTAGGTTTTAGTTCAAAATAAGAAAGAACTTTCTAACAATGAGAGTTGGTGAAAAATGGGTTGGGATATCCAAAGTCTACATACTGTAAGTATTTAGAGAGAGGTTCAACGGGCCCCACCTGTGACATGTGCTAGGGAAAGGATTCTCCATCTTGGACAAGAGATGAATATGACCAGAATTAGCAAATGAACTTTCATCTCTGGTGTTACTTCCAATGGACTGATAATGGCTGCAAAGTGCCAGGTCAAGAAAGCTTCCGAGGCCATTTTGGGCCCAAGAGGAAAGATCTGGAAGAAAGATCCATTAGTAAAGTTTGTCAAGGGCGGGGAGAAAAGGAATAGTGCCAGGAACCTGGA